GGGGGTGATAACAACGTTTATTTACTCCTTGGGTCAGCGGTTTTACAAAAACAAAAATGGCGGAAACGTACTGTTTACTTGTCAAATCTCAGTTTTATCGAATTTGAACATGACTTGACTTCATGTGGAAACCTAAATGTCCTTGGTAAGACGTATTTCTAAGTGTTTTTATAGTTGTTGCAAGTGAATCGAATATTTAAGCCACTTTTGGTCTGTATTGAATACATCATACTGTATAACACGTAGCCATGGACACAGATGGACTGTACGCTTGAAAACATTTTATTATAAGATATCGATAGTCTCAAAATAATAGTCAGAAACATAAAGCTCATTCTTCTCTTATTAATTCTTCCAAAAAGTATGCATCAACCAAGTATCGTGTGATTAATCCTGTAAACTTTTTTTCTTTAATTTAAGCTTATATTAAAACGTTCTGTGATTGACTTAACTTAATTAACATTTAAGTTTGTTAATATTTGGTTAATTCTTTTGTATTTTCATGAACTTCAATCCCTTCCTTTTTGACCAATAGTTTTCTAATATTAGTATCTATCAGATGTAGGCAACATTCACATTCAATGTGATGTTGTTTTTTATTTAATGACAGGAATTATGTCCACTGACAATCCACTATGCCTAGAACTGGATCTCCATCAAGTGCTCTTCAACAATGTTGGACAGTTTTATATGACAATATGGATTCAAGGATCCATAGAAAGACAAAATGATGTCAAACTGTTTATTAACAACTCCAAGTCTCCTCATGGTCAATCRTACTTCACGTCTCAGCCATACAAACAGAGTGATGTCACAGCACCAGTCAACCTTGATGGGTCTGTGCTAKCATTCCATTTGCCTCCAGGTAGATATTTTCTGTTTGTAAGGCATGATGAATATGATTGTAGTCTACTGCATGATCACACAGTTAGTTTACCAATAAAATAATATCTTATTAATAAACCATTATTCCTGACCAGGGTTCATAGAACAAGATGTTTATTTAATTGTGGAGGCTCACAAATTTTCCCAAGATGCACAAGAAGAGGACTCAAAATATGGTGAATCTGTGCTATTGGTTCATCCAAATACAGACTCTCTGTTTCCATCAACTCATCATGGCACAAACACAGAGGATGAAAATGTTCTTTATAAAATAGAAAAACTGTTGACTTTCACAGCAGAAAGTGAGTTTGAGGGCATGTCTGTAAGTGTGGGTAAAAGAGCTCCAGGGATTAGCTTTAGCAAAGCAGCAGAGTTAAAAGATCAAAAATTATATCATTTACTTTGATCAGAAACTAACTCACTACTCACTGATGGATTGGGTGGGGAGGGGGTGAGGAGCTGAACTTATGGTTTCAATTGAATGATGCCGCATAATAACGAAACCTACTTTTAACCAAGAATTCTAAATATTACAATGATTTTCACACAAGTGCATGCAAAGATTGYAAGTAAAACCTTATTGCCTATAGACATTGCATCACACCTTACACATTACTGAATCTCATTCAAAATCAATAAAAATGATTATGTGATTTACCATATCATTATCATCATCATCAATATATTTATCATAGTATTCACGCAATAGGAGTGGTAGCTTGATAMTCAGTAAATATGTCGTTATAATAACTTGGAACACAGCAAAATACAAGTACATTYAGGGCTTTTCTTAATAAACACACTCATAGACAACGTTTTGTGCCCAAATCGAGCAGCACAGTTGACAGCATGGCCGAGCTAAACTCAGATGATGAAAGACTTGAGCTATATCATACTGTAGCGTTTCAAGAACRCTGAAAACAATTATCAAAGCTTACCCTAAAGGTRCATTCTTCATGATCAAGCACACCTAGAAGCTTACCTATTTTGCTCTTCAAGTCTCTCAACCAGCTCATCGACGGATGCCAAGCAATCTTTTTCGTCATCATTTGAAGACGTTTTCTGCTCAATGCTTTTGTTTCCCGATGCCATTTTACGAGGAATACAATTTAGTAGGTATTTCAATATCAAAAGCAGCTAGTATTTCATGAAGACATGTTTTCTATAAGGTTACTTGCTGAATGACTTGGTTTTGAAGAAGAATTCATCTCAGCCAACGCTGACTCACAGAATTGTTGTTTAGACGAAAAAATTAATATTTTACACCTCAGTTTGTGAATATTCAAGTCTCAGAAGATGTTTAAATGTCATAACTAATGAAGCAGCGATATGTTCGAATTTCACTTGGTTTGAATCAAATTGCATTTTGAGTAAAAATCGACCATTTTTGGCCATTTTGGTGCTGACTCACAGAATTGTTGTTTAGACGAAAAAATTAATATTTTACACCTCAGTTTGTGAATATTCAAGTCTCAGAAGATGTTTAAATGTCATAACTAATGAAGCAGCGATATGTTCGAATTTCACTTGGTTTGAATCAAATGACTTGGTGTGTTTTGAGCTTTGGCCGGTTTTCATGCAGTGACTTTTGTACAGCGGCTAACTGTAAAAGAAAAACAACCAAATCTCTCGAGACCGAAACTACAACCTCTGGAATCAGTCTAAATCTCTATCAGTATTAATGCCCAGCATCTTAGAACCACAACTGATAAWAACGCATGGA